CTGTGCTATGTGCCAGAGACATGAAAAACAGAGACATTCTTTCTGCCCTGAAGGGTTGTGCTATCTTTATGAAGAAGACAGATATGTAGGGGCACCTGGGTGGCTCAGTCATTAGGTGCCCATCTTCGGTTCAGGTCATGATCCCAGGGTCCTGGGATCGAGCCCCGCATCGGGCTCCCTGCTCCGTGGGAAGCCTGCTTCTCCCTCTCCCGCTACCCCCTGCTTGTGTTCCCTCTCTTGCTATATCTCTCTCTGTCAAATAAATAAATAAAATCTTAAAAAAAGGCAGATATGTAAATGAATAATTGTAATAAAGATTTACAAATGAGCACTGAAGGATGGTCCAGTGCTATGAATGATAGTGTGTCTGTGACTGTGGGAGTGGGGAGGTGTGGAGGAGTCAAGGAAGGCTTAACAATGTTGATGATATTTGAATACATTTTGAAGGAGAAGAAGGAATTTCTAGACTGATGATGACAAGGGCATCCCTGTCCAAAGGGACCGCATATTTAGGTATCAGAAATTCCATTAAAGAGGTAAAATGATGTGCTACGAAGGTTCAACTACAGCTAACATTTCCTCCCTAGACCTCCGAGAATACTTAATGCCAACACTCAGAGGGGCACTGTTTTCATTTCCAGTGCCAACTGCAGTTGCCTGTTAACAAAGATTCTGAGGCTGAGCTCAGTGGGAAAAAGTGCTATGATGGATTAGCACTGCTGACCTTTATGGTCGCAGTGGAAATTGGAGCCTCTTGTGCTGGGCATTTGTTAAAACTGGTCACCACTTTCTGTAACAAACCAAATAGAGGATTTTATCATATACATTGTGACTTTAAAGTAATGAAGCTATCCTCCAGTAATTCCTTGTAAATAATAAAATCACATTCCATACAGTGCTATATGATCTTCTGATTCTTACATCTAATTATTTTTTGTATATTCGTCTTGTCCTCCCAGAAAAATCATAGACTTCCTTATGTGAAGACTAAGCCTCATATCTCTGTTCTCCACTCTCTAACACCCCTGGCCCCTGCCAACCCTGCTGTGATACCTGGCCCAACACTGAGTACCCACAGGGGCTCTCTAAACATTTGTCTGATTGAATTGAGTTGTTGACGTTGTCCTCATAATCAGACAATTTCAGACCTGTGGGAACCTTAATTGGAAATAGAGAATTGCCCTTAGTAACACGACTCTGGTGATTCACTGCTTTTAACTTGTTCTCAGCTTCTGCTCCAGAGTCTTTGGTCTGCTTGCTCTGAGGATTTTCTACAAGGATATGGCTGGGAAAGAAGACACACATTACACTATGCTTGGTAATGCATATGAAAGTGCCCACATTTCAATACCCTAACAACCTTTTTCTTCTTAAGAGAGGTAATAATGGGTATTAATTATGCAAATCTTTGAAAATATAGGTGAAAATGAAGACATAAGGTAACCTAAGCCTATCACAATTGAGTTGGCCACTGTCAATATTCTAATTTTGGTGAATATTCTTTTAAATATATAAAGGTATATATTAAAAACCACAAAACACCAGAATCATACTGTGTATACTATTGGGTAAACATGTTTTTAAAACTTGATACTATACGATAAACATCTATGTCATTAAATATTCTAAAAATCAATTTTAATGACTGCATATTAATTTAATATATAGGTATACAAATTTAGTTATTCAACCACTTCTGTACATTTTTAATTGAGATATAATTGACATATAAGATTATATTAGGTATATGTATATATTGCAAAATGATCACAATAAGTGTGGTTAATATCCATCACCACACATAATTATAAATTTTCTTTTATGATGAGAACTTTGAAGATATATTCTATTAGCAACTTTCTTTTATTTTTAAATATGGAACACTTCATGAATTTGCGTGTCATCCTTGTGCAGGGGCCATGCTAATCTTCTCTGTGTCGTTCCAATTTTAGTATATGTGCTGCTGAAACGAGCACTCTATTAGCAACTTTCAAATGTACAATACAGTTTTATTAACTATAGTCACCATTCTGTATACATCCCAGGACTTATTTATTTTATAACTGGAAGTTTATACCTTTGGACCACCTTCACCCATTTTTGTCCATACACATTGCCCACCTCTGGCAACTACCAATCTCTTCTCTGTATCTATAAATTTAGTGTTTTGTTTTGCTTTGTAGATTCCGCATATCAGAGAGATCATATGATATTTGTCTTTCTCTATCTGATTTAGTATAATGCCCTCAGAGGCCATCCGTGTTGCAAATTGGGCATTTTTTCTTTGGTAATAAACCATTTAGGGATGAACATCTTTTGGTCAAATATTTGTGAACATTCATGATTAGGTGAAATGACTTAATATAATTCATTCTATGAGAATTTTGTTGCAGGTAAACTCAATTGAGTGAGAGATGTTAACACTGATTTTTTTAAAAGGTTATTTATTATTTATTTATTTATTTATTTATTTATTTGAGTGTGAGCAGGGGTAGAGGCAGAGGGAGAGGGAGAGAGAGACTCTCAAGCAGATTCTGCGCTGAGCACAGAGCCCCTTGTGGGCTGGATCCTATGGCCCTGAGATGGTGACCTGAACCAAAACCATTAGAGTCTGACACTTAACCGACTGAGCCACCCAGGCACCCCTAACATTAATTTTAAGGGTTGCATTCAGGGGCAAATCCACACAAACCTGTTATCGCCACCCCCCCTCCGCCACCACTCCTCAGTGCTTTTATGAAGTCTTCTATACCTTTCTTGAAACTCCCTCTTCAGGAAGACTGTTCATTAACTTATTCATTCATTTATTTATTCACTCACTTAACATTTACCAGATCTCTATATTTTCTATTTTGAACCAGTGGAACATACGCAATGTGAAGACAGTGGATAAAAAGAGAGCAATGTTGATGGGAAAAGGTTAAAAAGTTCCAAGTTAGAACAAGTAATTTTATGAAAATATTTTTTGGGGAGTTTTTTTCCTCCACACAGTTTAAAGTAATCCAGTATCTTCAAATTCCACCTTAACAATATTAGGCCATTTAAACACTATTTATGTTATGGGGAGGTTTCTTTTCTGTATTTGTACAATATTTTAATATTCATTTTACTGTGGTAGGAACATTTTACATGAGATCTACCCTCTTCAATATTTAAGTGTACAACACAATATTGTTGACTATAGGCACAGTGTCATACAGCAGAGCTCTGGAACTTATTCATCTTGCTTGGTTGAAACTTTATGCCTGGGATGCCTGGGTGGCTCAGTTGATTAAGGGTCTGCCTTTGGCTCAGGTCGTGATCCCAGGGTCCTGGGATCAAGTCCCACATCTGGCTCCTTGCTGAGCAAGGAGCCTGCTTCTCCCTCTGCCTGCCTCTTTCTCTCTCTCTCTGACAAATAAATTAAATCTCTAAAAAAAAAAAAAGAAACTTTATGCCTGTTGGTTAGGATTTCCCCATCTCCTCCTCCCCTTCAGCCCCTAGCAACCACTCTATGAATTTGACTATTTTAGATACCTCATATGAGTGGAATCATGCAGTATTTGTCCTTATATAACCAGCTTATTTCCTTTAGCATAATGTTCATAGGATCCATTGATACTGTAGCATATTGCAAGATTTCCTTCTTTTTCTAAAGCCTGAATAGTATTCCACTGTATGTATAGGCCACTTTATTTATTTGTTTGTTTGTTTGTTTAAAGATTTTATTTATTTGACAGAGCGCATATGCACAAGCAGGGGGAGCGGCAGGCAGAGGGAGCGGCAGGCAGAGGGAGAGGGATAAGCAGCCTCCCCGTGGAGCCAGGGACCGCAGCTTGGGGGCTCGATCCCAGGACTCTGGTGGCTTAACCCACTGATCCACCCAGGTGCCCCCAAAACAAAATCTTTAAAAAAAAAGAAATCATGTCTGCATGCAAGGAAAATTTTACTTCTTTCTTTCCAATTTGGATGCTTTTTATTTATTTTTCTTGCCTAATTGATCTGACTAGGTCTTCTGGTGCTATGTAAGGAGTGGGTATCCTTGCTTTCTTTCTAATCTTAGAGGAAAAACTTTCAGTTTTTTACCATTGAGTGTAATGTTAGCTATGGACTTTTCATATATGGTTTTTATTATGTTGAGACCATTTCCTCTAATCCTAGTTTGTTGAGAGTTTTTATCACAAAAAGGGTGTTAAATTTTGTCAAATGCATTTTCTGTATCTATTGAGATAACCGTGTGATTTTTATCCTTCATTCTATAGAATTTTACGTCTACATTTATTGGAGATATTGGCCTGTAATTTTCTTTTCTTGTGGCGTCTTTGTCTGGTTTTAGTATCAGGGTAATGCTGGGCTCATAAAATAAGTTTGGAAATGGTCCCTTTCAAATTTTTGAAGGAGTTTGAGGATTGGTATTAATTCTTATTTAAATGTTTGGTGGTAAATTTTACATGTGAGGCCATCTGGTCCTAGGCTTTTCTTTGTTGGGAAATTTTTTTATTACTTATTCAATCTCTTTATTAGTTATAGGTCGGTTCAGACTTTCTAATTTGTCATTCCTTTGGGTATTCCCCTTGGAAAACTTGGGGCTCTGGATAAATGAACTAACCTCTTGCTTCTTGAGTGAAGCTGGGGGCTAGGGGATGTTTTCCTGATTGTGCTGTGCCAGATGCAGGGTGTCTAGTAAAAGGACGTCCTCTACTGACTTTGGTGAGTCTGATTTCACATTCTCCTGGGATACAGGAGACTTTCAGTTAGTTTCTGATTTCTCCCAAAGGGAATTTGTCCATGAGTTGTTGCAGAATTGGTATGTTTGTGAGGGGAAGGGGTGGGTCTTGGACTTCTTACTCTGCCATTTTATTGACATCACTCCTCCAGGGAGGGAGATGTTTTTAACCACCCCCAATTTTTCTCATTACATGATTTTAATGGCGTCTTTTGGGGAATGATACTTAGAATACTCTACTTACTAGAAATGATTAATAATAATTTATTGACATTATCTTTATTCTTCCATTTAGATAACATGAAAGTTCCTATTTCAATAGATGTTAAACCCTGTATAGCATTGAAGGGAAGCAACGGATATTTGCATATTTACTACATTCCAAGTAAGTTCAATGTTTTGTTTTGTAATTCAATTCAACAAAATGTTTTTGTTTTGTAATTCAAGAAGTATTAATGATAAATGATTGTGTTCCAAATGTACATGTATTGGTTTTCTATTTCTATGTAACAAAGTACCACCATTTTAGTGGCTTAAAACAGTACACATCTATTATCTTGCAGTATTTGTGTGTCAGTAGTCTAGGCATGGCTTAGTTTGTCTGCTTCAGGATCTCCCACAAGGTTTCAGTTAAGGTGTCAGCCAGGACTGGAGTCTCTTCTAATGTTCAAGTAGGGAAGAATCCACTTCTAAGCTCATGTGGTTGTTGACTGTATTCCGTTCCTGTCTGGCTGTTGGACAGCAATCAGTTAGTTCCTTGCCATATGGGCCTTTTCAACATAGCTTCTTTCTTCATCAAAGCCAGCAGGAGGGACAAGCTAACAAGATAGAAGTCACAATCTTATGTAGGCTAATCATGGAAGTGTCACTCTATCACCTTTGCTGTATGCTATTTGTTAGAAGCAAGCCACTAGGCTAGCTCACACTCATGGGGGAGGGGATTCCATATGACATAGGGGTAAAAATGGAAATAACTCAAGACTTCCAATAATCTAATGGGTATATCCTTTGTCAGCCATTAACTATTCAGCTTGTAAGTAAAGCTGGGTTTCCACTAATCAAAGATCTGCATATGAGCAAGCCACAACTTTTTTTTTAATAAAGATGACCCTCTAGAGAAAACTATGATGATGATGGGATGAAAGAAGGCAATTTTTTGGTTTTGTTTTGTGCTGTGTCTTGTTTTTCCTCTCTATCATTTTACTTGTAATCATCAGTTTAGTAAAAATGAAGTTGGGTAATGGTGATTACCCATTAATCACCATTAATTGTGGTGGTTACATGTGAGGCCATCTGGTCCTAGGCTTTTCTTTGTTGGGAAATTTTTTTATTACTTATTCAATCTCTTTATTAGTTACAGGTCAGTTCAGACTTTCTAATTTGTCATTCCTTTGGGTATTCCCCTTGGAATCAGGATGGATGAGTGTCTGTGAAAACATACAAAATGTTCTTCCTCTCCTCCTAGTCAGCTCTGTTGCCTGTAAGTCCTAGGAAACTTCAATTCTAATCATCATCATTATCATTATTGTTTTCGTCATCACCAACATCACTTACATCCTAACTTATATTTGGAGCTTATACTTTACAAAGTGTTTTCACATAAATAAACTTAAACATTTCCCCCTGATTTTAGTTCTCCAGTTTACAAGACAAAAGACAGCTGAGAACCCAGAAATATAGGCAATAAACTTGTGTTTTAATTTTCTTGAATCTAATTATTTAAACTTATTTTAAAACTTTCTGTATTCATTAAAAAATACTTAGAAATGCATAGTGTATTTCAAGTATAGTGATAGGGCTTGTGAATTCATTGATAAATAAGATGTTCTCTTGACCTTCAAAAATCAGTGCAATAGGAGACAGAGAGATCTGTAGATAATATGGTATGAAAAGTGACATGATAGCATTTAGGCTTAGTGGTAGCCCAGAGGAAAGAATAATCAACTCTGTTTACTCCACTTTCTTGGCCAAAGGTGAAAGAAATAATCTAAGTTTTTGCCTGGCTAAAGTTCTACATTTTTTTCCTCTTTTCTCAGGTTTTGTTTTCTGCTTTAGGTGGTGTGCTTCATCTGCCCTCCCCCACTCCCCATGTTTGGCAGGAGTGATTATTTACATAACAAATGACCTCATTTTCAAGTGAACCTCTTGCCCTTACACACAGGAAGCAGAATGTATCCTTCTAGGCTAAGTAGTATTGTATTATTACTTTATTAAGTAATAATACAGTACAGTGTACTTGTGGTTCTCTGAAAAGCAGGTACTAAAAAAGGAATTAGACATACAAGAGATTTATTGGGGGAAGTGCAGGGAAAAATAAAGTGAAGAGAATGCCGGAGTAGGCAAGGAGGGAATTCAGATTAATGTGCAGTTCTGATACCTTTGAAATGAGAGAGGAGGGCGCCTGGGTGGCTCAGTTGGTTAAGCAACTGCCTTCGGCTCAGGTCATGATCCTGGAGTCCAGGGACCGAGTCCCACATCGGGCTCCCTGCTCAGCAGGGAGTCTGCTTCTCCCTCTGACGCTCTTCCCTCTCGTGCTCTCTGGCTCTCATTCTCTCTCTCTCAAATAAATAAATAAAATCTTTAAAAAAAATGAGAGAGGAAAGGAAAGAGTATTTGGTAAGATGGTCATCAGACCAAAACGAATCCCTGAGATACTCTGAGCCAGGTCAATGGGGAGCCTTAGAGCAAAGATTGCCTGTCTGATGACAGGCAGGGGTAGTTTGACTGTAGTGTCCTTGTGGAATTTGGTTATTATAGGAGCAGCCTTGGTCATAATAGGAACATTATAGGAGTTTGGCTTCTGGATGATTGTGGAGATAGATCTGAAGGTGCAGCAGCTTAAAGGCTGTCTGCCTACTACACTTCCTTCTCCCAGCAGTTCTTTAAAAGGGAGGTTTGAGTACCTCACCACTGTGGCCACCACAAATAACCTTAATCATTCACTAAATATGACATTTATATAACATTTTATTAATTCACTAACAAAATAATTATTTAGTCATATTTTAAAAATTGGATTATTTTGTGTTTTTATGGTATTGTTGTATAAGTTCTTCATATATTTTGGATATTAATCCCTTATTGAATCTATCATTTGTAAATATCTTCTCCTATTCAGCAGGTTGTCTTTTTGTTTTATTGATGGGTTTCTTTGCTGTGCAAAAGCTTTTTATTTTGGTATAGTCCCAGTAGTTTAATTTTGCTTTTGTTTCCCTTGTCAAAGTAAACAAATCTAGAAAAATGTTTCTGTGGCTGATGTCAAAGAAATTACTGCCTGTTTTCTTCTAGGAATCTTATGGTTTCAGGTCTTACATTTAGGTATTTTAATCCACTTTGAATTTATTTTTGTGTGTGGTATAAGAAAGTGTTACAGTTTCATTCTTTTGCATGTGGCTATCCAGTTTTCTCAGTATTATTTGTTGAAGAGACTGTCTTTTTCCCATTGTATATTCTTGCCTCCTTTGTCATAGATTAATGGACCATACAACTGTGGCTTTATTTCTGGGCTATTTTGTTCCATTGATCTCTGTGTCTATTTTTGTTCCAGTGCCATACTCTTTTAATTACTACCACTTTGTGGTGTATCTTGAAATCTGCAATTATGATATGTCCAGCTTTGTTCTTTTTCAGGATTACTTTGGCTATTTGGGGTCTTTTGTTGTTCCATACAAGTTTTAGGATTATTTGTTCTATTTCTGTGAAAATGGTTTTAGTATTTTGATAGGGATTGCATTAAATCTGTAGATTGCTTTGGATAGTATAGATATTTTAGCAATATTTGTTCTCCCAATCCATGAGCATGGAATATTTTTCCATTTGTTTGTGTCACTTTCAATTTCTTTCATCAGTGTTTTATAGTTTTCAGAGCATAGGTCTTTCACCTCCTTAGTAAAGTTTATTCCTAGGTATTTTATTCCTTTTGGTACAGTTGTAAATGGGATTTTAATTTTTCTTTTTGCTATTTTATTATTAGTGTATAGAAATGCAATCGATTTCTGTATATTAATTTTTTATCCTGTGACTCTACTGAACTCATTTATCAATTCCAGTAGTTTTCTGGTGGAGTCTTTAGGGTTTTCTTTATATAGTATCATGTCATCTGCAAATAGTGAAAGTTTAACTTCTTCCTTACCAATTTGGATGCTTTTTATTTCTTTTTGCTGTCTGATTGCTGTGGCTAGGACTTCTAGTACTATGTTGAATAAAAGTGGTCAGAGTAAACATCCTTGTCTTGTTCCTGATCTTAGAGGAAAAGCTCTCAGTTTTTCACCCTGGAGTATGATGTTAGCTGTGGGTTTTTCATATATGGCCTTTATTATGTTGAGTTATGTTCCCTCTAAACTTACTTTGTTGAGAGTTTTTACCATGAGTGGATGTTCTACTTTGTCAAATGCTTTTCCTGCATCTACTGAAATGATCATATAGTTTTTATTCTTTCTCTTGTTAACGTGATGTATCATGTTGATTGATTTGTGAGTATTGAACCATCCTTTTATCCCTGGAATAAGTCCTACTTGATCATGGTGAATGATTTTTTAACGTGTTGCTGGATTTGGTTTGTTAATATTTTGTTAAGGATGTTTTTTGCATCTTCATTCATCAGAGATACTGACCCATAGATCTCTTTTTCTGTAGTGTCTTTATCTGGTTTTGGTGTCAGAGTAGTGCTTGGCCTCATAGAATGAATCTGGAAGCTTTTCTTCCTCTTCTGTTTTTTGGAATAGTTTTTTTTTTTTTTGTTAAGATATAATGTATTATTTGTTTCAGGGATACAGGTCTGTGATTCATCAGTCTTATACAATACCCAGTGCTCATTACATCACATGCCCTCCTTAATGTCCATCACCCGGTTACCCCTTCCCTCCAATCCCCTCCCTTCTAGCAACCCTCAGTTTGTTTCCCATGATTAAGAGTCTCTTATGGTTTGTCTCCCTCTCTGGTTTTGTCTTGTTTTATTTTTTCTTCTCTTCCCCTATGATCCTCTGTTTTGTTTCTTAAATTCCACATATCAGTGAGATCATATGGTAATTGTCTTTCTCTGATTGACTTATTTCGCTTAGCATAATACCCTCTAGTTCTGTCCACGTCCTTGCAAATGGCAAGATTTCATTTTTTTTGATGGCTGCTATTTTTTTTAATAGTTTGAGAAGAATAGGTAATAACTTTTTAAAAAATGTTTGCTAGTATTCACCTGTGAAACCATCTGTCCCCGGACTTTTGTTCGTTGGGAGTTTTCTGATTATTGATTTGTTTTCATTGCTGGTAATTGGTCTGTTCAAAATTTCTATTTTTCTCTGATTCAGTTTTGGAAGGTTATATATTTCTAGGAATTTATCCATCCCTCTAGGTTGTCCAATTTGTTGGCAAATAATTTTTCATAATGTTCTCTTATAATCATTTGTTTTTCTGTGGTATTGGTTGTTATTTCTCTTCTTTCATTTCTGAGTTTATTTATTTGAGTCCCTTCTCTCTCTCTCTCTTCTTTTTTTTTTATTTTGATGAGTCTGACTAAAGGTTTATCAATTTTTTTTAAAGATTTTATTTATTTATTTGAGAGAGAGAGAATTGAGAGACAGAGAGCACGAGAGGGAAGAGGGTCAGAGGGAGAAGCAGACTCCCTGCTGAGTGGGGAGCCCGATGTAGGACTCGATCCCGGGACTCCAGGATCATGACCTGAGCTGAAGGCAGTTGCTTAACCAACTGAGCCACCCAGGCACCCCAAGGTTTATCAATTTTGTTGAACTTTTCAAAGATCAGCTCCTGGTTTCATTGATTACTTAGTCATATTTTTGTAATGCTTTACAATTATGACCTGAGTTTCCTTAGAGTGTATTAGAATGTCTGTATAAGTGTGGGGCCATATTCATAGAAATCAACCTTATTTTTATGGGCCTGTAGCTACTTAAATTCAATAAGAGCTATAAAAGCTTTGACCAAAAGTAGGTTGGGGATTGAAATTATTTATTTTGACACTTTATAGCTTTGCTAGTAAATTATTTGTATACTATTAACTGATTAATAAAAAAAATAAATAAAGCTGGACTTTAAGCCAAAGTTATATCTGAAAGTTCTTGGAGTTGTCTTAGCTGAGCTCAGAAACAGTCTTCTTTGTTACTGCATGAAGCTACCATATTTCTTGTGTCTCACTCTGACAACCACATTGGTATCTCTGGCCTACTGAGCCATACAAGTGGTATCTCACTTTGTCCATTGTTCCTGTGCCTAAAATGACCACAGTGATGTCCAAGGGCAAGAAACTTCTCAAGGTGTAAACTGTTGAGATGTCAAAGCAGCACTTCCTTTCTTGGAGGCATTGAAGACTGGAATCATGCTGTGTTCCATGCAGAAATGATAGAAGTTTCATTGTCCTGAATCGTCATTGGTACCACAGCAGTACTGCCATATGCCCATGTCTCAAGGAATTCCCTGTGAAAACAGCTCTTCAACGTCTACACATATTCCTGCTTTGGGAGTGGTACAGGCCGAAGTTCATGGAGTGGACCATGGAATCACTGTTTGAAAAAGACCCTATGATGTTCTTTTCCACTTTACCCTGAAAGTAGAAAAGTGGAGACAAATTAGGAAGTTTGGTGGTATGTTAGGCTCAGAGTAATGAGGGCCTGCATTTAGAGAGTGGTGATGGGGATGAAAAGGAGGCTAGTAAGATTTCCTGGGATTGTGAATTCTAATGCCTATATGGTGAAGAAGATGAGGAAGTCAATTTTGGATCTGTTGGCTGAGACAGTGAGCAGCATTTGGGTAGAGATATTGAATGCATATGTGGGACAGGTGCCCAGGAGAAAGGTTGAGACTAAAGATGATTTGGGAATTATCACCCTATGTGGTACTTAAAGCCAGGGAGTATGTGCAAAGTGGAAATTGAGAACTGAGGCTAAAACCGTAAGAGAAGCCAATGAGGAGAAGGAGTCAGAGAGGTTGGAGAAAAACCGCAAGAGAACAGTAGCACTAATGCCAAAGGAAGGAGTTTTGAGGAAGGAGCTGGCATTCCTGTTAAGCATACCAAGTTCAGGTTAAAGATGGAAATTTTGGGGACGCCTGCATGGCACAGTCATTAAGTGTCTGCCTTCGGCTCGGGTCATGATCCCAGGGTCCTAATATCAAGCCCCGCATCAGGCTCCCTGCTCAATGGGAAGCCTGCTTCTCCCTCTCCCACTCCCCCTGCTTGTGTTTCCTCTCTCGCTGTGTCTATCTGTCAAATAAATGAATAAATAAAATCTTTAAAAAAAAAAGATGGAATTTTTTTCTTTTGATTATGGCTACAATGAGTCATGGTGACTTTATTAGGAAAATATTTTTAGTGAGGTAGTGGTTATAATAATTTTTTTTTAAAGTGATCTTTACACCCAATATGGGGCTCGAACTCATGACCCCGCATTCAAGAGTCACGTGCTCTACCCACTGAGCCAGCCACGAGCCCCACAATAATTGTTTTTATCATAAAAAAGATTGTACATATTTTCCAGTTGGACCAACTAAATGAATTAGAAGGGTTGAGCAAAATGCAGTGTTTACTGGAATTTTCCATGTTAAATGGTACTATGGAGACCATGAAGAAATAATAAGATAACTCATGTATATTATTTTCTTTTTTTTTTTTAAGATTTTATTTATTTATTTGACAGAGAGAGACACAGCGAGAGAGGGAACACAAGCAAGGGGAGTGGGAGAGGGAGAAGCAGGCTTCCCGCTGAACAGGGAGCCCAATGTGGGGCTCGATCCCAGGACCCTGGGATCATGACCTGAGCCGAAGGCAGATGCTTAACAACTGAGCCACCCAGGCGCCCCTAACTCATGTAATTTTTAATCAAGAGGTTGTTCTATTCTCCACGAACTCTTTCATCAAATCTCCTAAAAAAGTGGGCATGAGTTGATTATCCTCATTTCCTTTCCTTTCCATGTCTTTTTTCTTGAACTTCCTAGCAGAACTGTAAATTTTACATTTCCGTTTGATAGTTTTCTCAAAAACATAGGCTCCTCTCTTTTCAGGCACAGCATACATAATTCTTACTGTGGAATATCCTGTTTGGTTACATTCCACTAATTATCCTCTTAGAACTTCAGTTTTCTCATCTGTTACAGAGGGATAGCAATGCCCACATGGTAAGTTGTTGTGATGATTAAATGAAATAATATAGGAAAGGTGCTGGGCATGTTTTAAGTATACGGTACAGTACATGTTAATTATTATTTATAAAGGAATCTATTATTTGAAGGACTAATGGGGTTTTTTTTCTTTTTAAGGAAGAGATATTAAAAAATTATATTTCAATCTCTATATATCTTTTCACTCCATGCATTTTCCAATGCGCAAAGAAGTTGTTTGCCAAGGATCTGATGATCTTTATTCTTTCTGCAGCGCTCTGAAGGGAGGTAAGCATTCAATTCATATTATTTTCAGAATAGAACAGAATAGTTTATGAGAATGTTCTGAATATTAAATGCACTGAAAATGTGCAGTTCCTTTTCTAATAATTTTTTCATCCAAAGTTTTTACTTTTAGCAGCTTAAACAACATTTTACAATTATGTCATTGAATTATTGTGAAGATGGTACTTACTTAAGTGTGTTTGAAGGTATATTAAAATTTTTACCTTGTTCAGATTAATATTGTACATTTACCATTGATTATAGATCCCTTTTTCTAAACATTACACTTATTATTTTTTATAGAAACTCACTGAACCACAGCCAAGGGAATAGGATTGGTGGAATCAGAGGGGAAAGAAAAAAAAGGGAATTAAAAAAATTTTATTAAAAAAAAAAACCTCACTAGATTTTTCTAGTGTTTTCTTCACTGTCTTCCCCCATTTTTTTCCACCCTGATGTTATTCACAGAATCACAAAATTTCAGAGCTTAGGACCTTAAAAGCTACTTATTGCAAACTCATGAATTTTTCCTTAATAATTTTTAAACTAGCATTTTACATAGTTTAAATGTTTATAAATATTACACAGTCACATTACCAAAAATTGGGAAGTATAAACAATAAAAATATCACAAAATCATATTTCTAAAAACATTTTGGAGTATTTCCTTCTGGTTTTTCAATGTATGTGCATTGCTTATGTACTCATAAGTATGCTACACTATAATAGTTTTCTTTTTTTAAGATTTTATTTTTAAGTAATCTCTACCAACATGGGGCTTGAACTTACAACCCCAAGATCAAGAGTCACATGCTCTCCCAACTGAGCCAGCCAGGTGCCTCAGTAATTTTCTTTTTAGAAATTATTGTATTCAATTTTTTGAGTAGATGATCTATGTGGTTCAAAAACCAAAGTATAAACATTACATAATGAAACATCTCCCTTAATGGGTATGCTCTGGTTTACTTAACCATTCTCCTGTTGGACATTAGTTTCCTTATGATATTTTTACTATTATAAATAATATTGTAATAAATATATTTCTGTATATAATTTTTCTTATATTTTATATTTGAATATGTTTGCAAGGAGTTACATATAACTCCCCGGGAAACAGCTGAGCTTAAGAGGGTTGACTGTGTTTGTGGTTTTGTTTACATAGGCCAAATTGCTTTTCTAAAGGAATGTATCAATTTATACATTATATCACCAGCAATGTTATGTACAGTAGTTTAATCTCTGTCTTGTTAACAGTGGACGTTATCATCTAAAAAATAAAGAAGTTAAAAAAAAAACTATTGGGGGGTTCCTGGGTGGCTTCGTCGGTTAAGTGTCTGCCTTCGGCTCAGGTCATGATCCCAGTGTCCTGGGATTGAGCCCTGCAGGGAGCCTGCTTCTCCCTCTCCCTTTGCCTGCCTGTCTGCCTACTTGTGATCTCTCTCAATCTCTCTCTGTCAAATAAATAAACAAAATCTTAAAAACAACAACAACAACAAAACTATTAGGTTAAAAAAAACCCAGTTGTTTTGTTAACATTTAAAAATTACTATTGCAGTTGAATATTTTCCTATACAATTAGTTATCATTAACCTGTGGCCTCTCTTATTTAAAAAAAGGTTTTAGGTAGGGGTGCCTGGCTGGCTCAGTTGGCCAAGCATCTGATTCTTGATTTCGGCTCAAGTCATGATCTCAGGGTTTCTCAGGTGAGATTAAGACCTGTGTTAGGCTCCCTGCTCAGTGGGGAGTCTGCTTGGGATTCTTTCTCTCTCTCTCTCTCCCACTCTGCACCACACTCTCCCCCAGCTCTCTCTCTTAAAAAAAAAAAAAAAGATTTTAGTAGTTTACATGCATACATTAAATTTAACAACATAGCATAAATTAGATGTAGATGGGACAAAAAGTGGAAAATAAGGGCTGGGAATTAATGGAATGAGAGTGGTATAAAAATTCATATGAGGCTTATACTGGCTTTGACATTTATATCAATTTGATTATACATTTTCTAGCAGTCATTAAGAAAATTGTTTCTAAGTACATCAGTTTTTTTGCTATGCAAGTAAAGCTTTGAGATATATCTCCTAGCCAACCATCTCTCCATGGCTCTGACTTGCCTGCCACCCCCAAACCATATGCAAATTATGGAGCTGGCATTGCTTCTAAGTCTGGGCTCAGAGTTGGAGAGACCTGAGTCTCTGTCCCAGCTTTTCCACCTACCAACAATGTGGCCTTGGGTGGGTTATTTAACCTCTATTGGCCTCATTTTCCTCATCTGTAAAATGGGGACAGTGAAACCTATTGAACATGATTTTAAGGATATAATTAGAAAATGCATATTAAAAAAAAGGTTAGTACAGTGCTCAGAATAAGAATTCAAGAAGTATGGTTCTCGAATAATAAATACTCATGTGGGTAATAGGGGTCCTTTTGTTCCTGATTTTACAGTCCTGTCATTTTTACAAGTGAGGAGACTAATGCCTGGAGTGACCCAGTAATGTGTCCTTGGCCATTTGGAGAACTAGTAACAGAGTAGTCTCATGACTCTTAAGGCCCACTCTTCCACTGTACCATGATTTCTCTTTGGAAAAAAAAAAAACATAAAACCCTCTTGGAAGATTACTGTTGTTTTTTTTTTTAAACAATTGTTTCACAATCCCACCTAATCTCTGTGAGATTATGTTGACATTTTATCTGAATTTTTAAAATTTCACTTTCTTGAGCTCTAAGATGTGTCAGACTCAACCCAGTCTGCTGGCTTTTCCCTCCCTTCCTCATTTCCTTCCACAAACATCTGTTGAACCTAATTTGAGCAAGTCATGATTTAGGCTCTGGTGATCCAAAGTTGAATGATAGGGTCTCCCTCCTCAGAAGGTCCCTCTGTTCTGGGAAAGTCACGGGAACAAAAATTATAATGAAATGTCATAAATGCCAATAGAATTACATGCTCCTAGTTTTAACTATATAGTTCTCAATTTGCTGTGACAGAACTCAGATAAGGTTTCAGAGATTATGTTATTAAAATCTTGAATCTGAGAAAATCAGAGAGGAGGAGGAAGGGCATTCCTTGGAGAGGAAACAGCATAGGCAAACACATGTAGCCATGAAAGAATATGGTTTATTTGGAGAGTAGTTTTTTTTGTAGCTGGAGCAGAATGTGCTGTGGGGAATTGCTGGAGATGAGCCTAGGAAAGGGGGCAGGGGCGAGCACGTAAGTCATGCACAAAATATTGGCCTGCATCTTGTCATCAGTGGGTAGGGATGACCCACTGAGATTTTCAGTTTTGCAGATAACTGGTGTCCATATGGAAGGAGGCGGGGGTTGGCTGAGGCAGGAAACTGGGATGGAAGGAAGACCAGCCAGGAGGCTGTGTGAGAGACCATGAGGTCTGAACAAAGATGGCAGCCTGGGAGCAGAGGGGAGGAGAAGAGAGAAGGCATATTTGGAGACAGAATTGGCAGGATATGCTGATTTATTTGATGTGGCAGGCAAAGATTAGGTAAAATCAAGGGTTGGTAGAGGGCCAGTGACTGGGATTAGCAGAAATGCCATTATCTGAAATGATGGGTGCAGAAGAAGGGGCAGATTTTTAAAAAGAAAGCAATGGGTTCTGGTTTGGGCATATCGAGCTCAAGGTAATTTTGGAACATTTAAATAAACATGTCCATCTGGTAGCTGAGTATATGGGCTCAGAGCTCAGGGCATTCTGATTTACAAAGCACTGATGCTATCAAGAGACCCTTGAAAATTTGGGAATCAAATTAGTAAGTACCATACATATCCACTTTTAAAATAATTTTCTTTTTTGTATTTGTTACAAAAGTCATATATTTCTAGGATATCATATTTAGAAAATGTACGCAAGCAAAAATAAAATAAAGATTACCCATAATATTACTACTTCTTACGCGCACACACACACACACACACACATCTTTGTTTCTTTTAAAAACACATTTGAGGGGGCGCCTGGGTGGCTCAGTCGGTTAAGTGTCTGCCTTCGGCTCAGGTCATGATCTCAGAATCCTGGGATCAAGCCCTGTGTCAGGCTCCATGCTCATCAGGGAGTCTCCTTGACCCTCTCTCTCTGCCTCTTCCCCCTGCTCTCTCTCTCAAATAAATAAAATCTTTAAAAAAAACCCACATTTGAAAATAAATGGATATTTCAAAGGCATATTATTTTTTAAAGATTTTATTTATTCGTCAGAGACAGAGAGAGGGAGAGCACAAGCCGGGGGAACAACAGGGCCCAGGGTGCCAGCAGAGCAGTGGGCAGCAGGGAGCCAAGACCCATCTAGGGGAGTTGCGTGCATGCCCCATTGTCCCATCCTGCTTGGTACCCCTCTCCCCAGTTACAGCCAGTGACCCCTGCTACCTGGTGGGAGCCTGGATGCAGGGAGGGTCAGGATTAGTCAAAGTTGCCCTGCAGTGTCTGAAGTGGGGTGTGGCCATGATCAACCGCCTGGGCTGGCAGCACCGGCATTGTTTAGTGGATGACTAGGTGGGGGCAGGACTGCCTCCCCACCAACAGGTAGCTCATGGAGGTATTACACGGAGGTTGCAAAACCCTTGAGGGTGACTCATGGGACAGCAGGCCTATGGGAAGGAAAGAAGCCTGATTTGTCTTCTCTGACCCGATGTGAGGCATGAGGCATCTGGCAGCATGGGGGAGGGAGACCTTAGGCAGCTGTCAGGCCCGTGCTTTGTGCAGGTGCCCCAGTCATGGAGCAGCCCCCTGGGTGCCCTTGAGCTTCTATACTCACCTTTCACTCTGTGCCAAGAGAACATCCCTTGGATCATTCCATGTCTGGGGATAACTTCTCTTCCTTCTTTCAAATTTCCTGAGTCAAGCCTGTGTTAGTTTTCTCAGCTTGAGATACCTTCTGGGGATGAGCCACCAAATACAAGTTGTGTCGTTTCAGTGATTCTGCCTTAGAGTTAAAAGCTCTGATATTTGTGTTTAAAGCTGTCATTGCACAATATAAAGATGAATGGCAATTTAAAATTTTGTTTGACTTCAAATGATACTACATAGCAAATAAAAAATATCATGGCAAGTCTAGAGAGAGAGACTGTGGAAGAAAGCTTTATATTTCTGTAACTTTAATAGGATGTCTCTCCTGCTTTTTGATCAAGGGGCCCCCATTTCCATTTTGCACTGGGCCTTGTAAATTATGTAGCTGAGCCAGGGACTCAGGGACCAGGCAGTAGGAGCTAGAGATTCAAAAGTGACCAAAGCAAAGCCCATGTCCTCATGGAGCTTATAGACTAGTAAACAAGATCATAAAATAACATTCAAATGAAATAAGATTCAGTTTATGAGAAGTACTCTCAAGGAAAGTAGCAGGCTAATGAGATAGACCATAAGTGTCTGTGCGGGGGGCACCTGAGTTGGTGGGCACGGAGGGCATTTACCTGCTCTTCTCTTCACCGCCGTCACTGCCTCCTGGCCTCTAACTGGTCTCCCTGACTCTTAGTGCCCCCTTAAATCCATCCACAATATGGTCATGTGACCCATCTTTCTAAACACAGTCTGACCATTTCATACCCTTGGATGTTCTTTCATTGCCTCCATTCTCTCAAATGTGGAATCTGAGCACATTTATGTTTACTTCTTCAGATTTCCTTCTTAGCACTCCCGCTTCTCCTTTGCTTTAATAATGCTGCGCCCCTTGCAGGTGTATGCATTAGTCATACTGATTTTCACTTTCTTGCCTTTGCTTCTCTTTTTCCTGCCACCTGGAATGTCCTTCGTTTCCTTCCTTCCCAACCTCTATGACAATTCAACTCACTTCCTTCTCTTTTTTAGATTCCCTTCCCATGGCATCTTGTGAATAAAGTAACTACAATATCAATGATAATATTAAGACATCATTGTTATTCACAAGACACCATGGGAAGAAGGTCTAGAAAGGAGAAGGAACAATATTTAATGCTCTAATAAATAACATTTTTAAAAAATATTTTATTTATTTGAGAGAGAGACCATAAGCCCTGGGGGAGGGGCAGTTGGAGAAGCAGGGTCCCTGCTGAACAGGGGTGATCCCAGGACCCAGAGATCATGATCTGAGCTGAAGGCAGCTGCCTAACTGACTGAGCCACCCAGGTGCCCCCAAATATTAATAACATTTAATGAGTGCTAAGTTCTAGGCATTGTTCTGAGCATATACATATCTTAGCTCTTAAAGCCTTCATGTTAATCCTATGAGAGCGGTGTTATAATCCATTGCCATTTTACCAAAGCACAGAGAAGCTAAGTGACTTGCCCAAGGCCACACTCCAAGTAAGTAGAGGAGCTGAGATTCAGACTCAGAACCATCACTTACCAAAAATGCTGTATGCTGCTTTTATCCTTGCTACATCTTTTTATGGCATGTATTTGGAATGGTTTCTTTGCATGCCTATATCCCCATAGATGTTAACTCTTTGAGGGAAGGAACAGTGTGTACTAGCCCTTGTCTCCTCAGTCCCTGGTAAGAGTAGCTTTCAATAAATACTTGTTGAACTATTAAATTTGAATTGGATTGGCCTTGAATGAAAAATCATAACATCATGAAGACAAGATCACTTTACTAAGCTCAAGAACTAAGATCTCAGTGTATTAACACCCCTATTAAGGAGATACCCAGAAGCAAATAGGTGCTTTTTTATGAAAATAGAAGTATATATATATACACACACAGACATAATCCATTCATTTGCTATTAAGGATTGTCTTTAGCTAGTTAGGAGAACAATAACCATTACTTTAAAAGAGATTTTTGGCCACTTTTGCTTTTGTTAGAGATTCAAAACATTTCTACTTTTCTATCCTTATCCTGTAAGTTCACTCCTTTGGTGTTTCTGATTAGGTCGGTGGAGTGTGGTTTTTCCTGCACTTCTGTCTTCCACAGCTTCTGCAGGCTCAGGCCCATGGCCACGCATTTCAAATGTGACTACTTAGGCTTCTCAGTGGTGGGATTGGAAGGAGATTTAGTATCCTGGCTGCCCCCCAACTCTCTCCTCCACTTTTAGGAAGATCTGTTATACTCTGCTGAAGGAGCAGCAGTATTAAATATGCACATATCTAATTTGGGATGACGCCTATGAGCACTAGCTTGTTCATTCATTCACTGTTGAGACTAGTAGGCCTTCAAATTTTGCATCCCCTGAGGGTTGAAATAGGGGCTGATACTGAGAGACGCTTGGGGTTGGCAGAGAGTGCCATCGGAGAATCATAGCCAGGATACAAAACTCATTACTTCTACAATTTTCTTGGGATCACCTCTGCTAGCAGCAGTGTAAAAGGTGCGCTCCATACTACATTAAAAAAAAAAAGAATCACCTGATGATGACCAATATAACTTTTTGTATTTTGTATTTTGTTTGTAGAGACTGTGAATACAACAGTATACTTCTCCTTCAAGGGATTACGATTTTCTAAGGTATTGCTCAAGTCATTTGTACTTTCTTAAGAATCTTTTGCAAAGTAGCAAATATGTTAAGAATTTGAAACAAGCCATTCACAACTTCAAAAATAGCTATTCAGTATTAAGGTGTTTTAAGAGTGTTTTTCACTTTTACTTAGTTTTGGGTATTTTGTATTTCTTCTTTCTGTAGAATATGGAAATATGGAAAAGTAACACAAAAGAAAGCTCTTTTTCACTTCATGTTTTTCCTCTAATATACATGGCTAAAAGTAATTCGAATACTCATTATTAATCTGGTGAATGATCTTTGGGTGAAAGTACTGTACGACTGCTGTGTATGACTCTGTAACTGCCTCCATGAATAGTAATAATGTAATTTTAGGTATTTGCATTAGATACCTGGCAATGAAATTTTGTACATGTTTCACTTTGGGTGACCATTTTTAAAATAATCTTCAAGAATGCATATTCCTTACCTATTTTGTTCTAAAGGATATTGAATGTTTGAAAATCTCACAGGCTTGTTTCAAAAAACCATTAAAAAACATCCTCTTGTAATTGGGAAGTAAATAGGTTTATGCTCGCTGAATTCAAAGGCATACAAAATTTCATCTCATTAGAAAACCAAGATAATGATAATCAATTTAATTTAAATGGCTTCCTTCTACTAAGAAAAGTTCTTATAAAAGTCTACAAAATAGAAGCATCTAACATTTTATTTGCTTGTATTTCTTATTCCTCCTTTTAGGGACAATACAAATGTGTTGCAGAAGCCGTCTCTGGAGATCCTGAAGAAACGCTCTTTTGTTTGAATTTTACCATCATACACCACCCTGATTTCAATTAGAATAAATAAAGTATATTTTTATTTTTCAGAGGTCTTATTGTTCACTTAAATTTTATTTTTCATAGTGTATTAATGTCTGCCATAACAAGTAGCACAGCTTGGGTGGCCTGAACAATTAGAAATTTGTTTTCTCACAGTTCTGGATGCTAGAAATGCGAGATAAAATTGTGGGTAGGTTTGGTTCCTCTTAGGGCCTCTCCCTTTGACTTGGAGATGACCACCTTCCAAGTGTCTTCACATGGTTTTCCCCCTGTGTGTGTGTGTCCTAATCTCTTGTTATAAGGACACCAGTCACACTGGTTTAGAGCCTACCCTAATGACCTAATTTTACCTTAATTACCTCTTTAAAGGCACTACCTACCAATCCAGTCACCTTCTGAGGCGCTGGGGGTGAGGACTTAAGCATATGAATTTTGGAGGAACAAAATTCAGTCCGTAACACACAGGTAGTGAAATCTCTTGAACTGGTTGACTTCTCCCCATTTCCTGCCTCTCTACTCTGGGGCAAGTTACCAGCATTGGCCTCCTGGACTACTCAGCTGCCTCCTGACTGATCTCCCTGCACCTGGTCAGGTGCCTCTGGTAAAGTATTCTCCACAAAGGCAGTTTCTATAATACTTTCAAAATACATGTCCAGTTATGTCACCACAATGCAAATGGAACAAAATGAAGTGAAACCAAACCAGGTCCTTCCTGTGGCTTCTGATTCTTTTTAGGGTAAAGTTGCAATCTTCTGGAGAGCCTGCCAGAGCCTGGCCACCCTTTCCCTCTCCAGCCTCTTCTCCCGCCACTTCTCCCCTTGCTTTCTGTGTTCCAGAATGTACACAGTCCTTCCCCTCTAGAATCTTCAGCCACAGTTTCCTCTGGCTCTATTCTCCTCTTCCACTCTGCCCTGCCTTTACCCCTTCACCTCTGTAATGGGTGTGGATCTTTCCTGGCTCAGGGGCTACTTCCTCAGGGAATCATCAGTGGGTAGTATGGAGTGCAACTCTTAACACTTTTGATGCTAAACAGAGGCAGTCCTGAGCAAAATCATAGAGAAATCATATAACATGGAGCCTAATTACCAGTCCCCTGTGGTTTTCTTCCTCCCCAAGTCCTTTTGCTCCACTCCCCTTTATCTAGTCCAGGTAGGGCTAGCTTTCTTTGTGATATGCTTTTGTAGACTTGTGTCCCTTCCTTCCAATACTTAACACTCATTTTGTCATTATTTTGATCATCTATCACTAGACTAAGCTCCGTGAGCCCAGGTAGTGTAGTCAGCCCAGTTAGGCTCACCACTCTTGACTCAGCACCTAACATAGTGCCTGGGCTTGGGTTTGCTCTAAATCCGTATTTGTTGAATGGATAAATGAACATTTTATTCTTGTAAAATATTCACAATACATAACTATAGAAAGCAAAATATTCATACACTCATTTGATAATTATTGAGCACCTGTCATATGTCAGGCCCTGTTCTAGATGCTGGGGATACAGCATTTAACCAACCAGATTAAAAAAAAAAAACCCCTGCCCTCATGGAGCTTATATTTTTGTGGGATGAGACTGACAAATAAGTAAATGATAGAGTACTGTAGAAGCAAACAGGCTATATGTGTGCTATGAAGAACAATAAAACAGGGAAGGGGGCAGGGCCTGGGGAAGGTGGTGAGGGTTACAGTTTTAAACGGGGTGGTCAGGAACAGCTTCACTGAGAAGATGATATTTGAAAGGGTTGGGGGAACAAGCCATGTGGCTTGCTGGAATTAAAGGCCTTGGAGGTTGAGAGAACAGCTGGTGTCAAGGCCCTGGGGTCAGAGTGCATCTGGCGTGTTTGAGGAACAGGTTGCTGTTCAAATGAAGTAAGTGAGGGGAGATGTGGTCAGGGAGGTACGTGTTTGCATTGGGGGTTAAGTAGGCATGGGCTGAAGAATATGATAGGCCATTATTAGGACTTTCGCTTTTGCTCTGAATGAGATGGAGGGTTCTTTGTAGGAGAATGACACCAGCTCACATTTAAAAAAGGCTTATTCTGGTAGCCAACTATTCATGCATGGGAAAAACAAGGGAATTTCTTATGGTAATTGAGGTAGAAAAGAAAGGAGAAAGTTGGGAGGCATTTGAAGTAATCCAAGAATCAGGACTCTATTACTTGCAAATAAAAGCATTGTAGTTGATTCACAGTCACATTGTCTACCACATCTCAGATGTCAGGCTAATTTCCAATTCTGGCCCTCCCTCTATTCCCTTCTGACTTTTCCCATTGCTTTTAACTCTTCTGTTGCTGATGCCTGTGGGGCCGACTTATCTATTAGGCACAGTGGGCACAATGCTTATATTTATAAATTATATTTATGTGGGATGGGGCTCATGAAAGTCAAAATGTGGCCCTGAGTGCTTAGTTACTACATTCTCTGATTTTTGCTAATATTACAAGTTTCCTAGGTGAATTGATTTCTTTAATATCTATTTAATGCCTACTGTTTTCCAAGCACTGTGCTAGGCCTTGAGGATACAGGGGTGAACAAAACGAAGAACAATAGTTCTTTCCTTCACAGAGTTTTTGATCTAGTAAGAAAATCAAACAAAACAAGTGATTATTGGAAAATATGATGGGAGTAACTATTGGAGGGTAAGTATGGAGTGGTGAGGCAAGAGAATTGAATCTCATCTATGGGATCAGAAAAGGCCCCCTAGAGGCGATGACGGTAAGGTTGGGAGTTGAGGATGAGTTTGGAATTAATTAAAGTCTATTCCAGGTGTAGGGAAGAGCAGGTGCCCAATTTAGAGGTGAGAGAGATACAGCATATTTAAGATGTTGAAAATGTCCAGTAATGATATTATCAGGTATCAGTTATTGATGCTTATCACGTCAGGTGGTGGACACTTTTCTAGGCACTTTGCATGTCATGAATCTAAGTGAGAGACTATTATTAATCCCATTTTATAGATGAAGAAGATAGAGAAGATGAAACACAGAAAATTAAATTACTTAGTCCATATATGCAGCAAGTGGCAGGGCTAGGGTTGGATCTTGACAGGCTCCAATATTAGATTTCTCATCTAGGTACAGTTGGAAGGCAGAGGTGAGAGAGTTGTTGAAGGCGAGGCAGGGAACCGCACTGCATTCCTGGGTAGTCCTACTCCCGAAATCCAGCCTTTGAGTGTGATCCCTGCTTCTTGACCTCCATATTCATCTCACCACATCCACCATACCCTCGCTTCCTGGACCACTGCAGTTGCTCTCTTAGTGACGTCTACTCTTCTACTTTTATTTCTTATTCCCCAAACCCTCCATTGGCCTAGGTAATCATCCTTCGAATGAAATCCCTCAGTCTGGCCCATAAAACCTGACACCATCTAGTCCCAAAAGACAACCTTTCAGTTTCATGATCTATTTGTCTTGGCATCTTTCATTTGGTTCCAAACGCATGATCTCCTTTCTCTTCCATCAATATGTTTAGTACATTATTATTATTATTATTTTTAGATTTTATTTATTTGAGAGACAGAGAGAGTGAGCATGAGTCAGGGGCAGAGGCAGAGGGAGAAGGAGAAGCAGGCTCCTTGCTGAGCGGGGAGCCCGATGCAGGGCTCTATCCCAGGACCCTGGGATCATGACCTGAGCCGAAGGCAGCAGCTTAACTACTGAGCCACCCAGGCGCCCCCCGGTCTTTCATTTAGTATATAAACACACACACACACACAAAACAAACCAAAACAAATAAATCAAAAAAACCTCAATTTTTTTCATTTCAGTCAGACTTCATCTATATTTGTCAGGATACACATTTGGTTCCTGGGACAAAGACTCTGTATAGCAGTGACTTAAATAAAATAGAAGCTAATTTCTCTCTCATCTGGGACTAATGTGGTACCTTGAGGACCCAGGAATCTTTTATCTGGCCTTTGTCTGAATGGTCCAAAATGGATCTTCACTGAATCTGTGACCCAGATGGCACCTTTCCATTAATAACACCACGTAATAGACAATTTTATAAAATTATCAGACACCACTCTTTTCATTCTTGTTTATTACTGGTCTTTCATTGTTCATAAAGAGTTAATGACATAAAAATATTGCTTAGATGTTGATCTCGTATTCTTTCTTTTGGAGTCATTTTAGGATTTTTCAGCATCATTGCACATTGAATTTCTTCACTGTATTTTATAATATCCTAACTGGCTTTGTTTATCCTAGATATAAATTCATCCTATAATGTCCCATTATTAAGGAAAAAAAAAGTTTATGAAGCTGGACTTTTCCTTGTGCCTGAGCTATTTTATGATGTCGTATCTCTTCCATCAATCTCTTTCCCTGCCCCCAACCCTCAAATAATTGGTTTCACCGTTCAACGAATTTCCTCAACTGAGCTTTATGAGAATTTTTCCTACGGATTTCCGCATTGCCCATGAAGAGTAAATTTCATTTGTGGAGGTATAAAGTAATTTGTGGCTATCACATTATGCTAGCTTTCTGAAGCTATTTTAAAATTACATCCTTTGTTCTTCTTGGTTCTCATCTCTTTTCTAAATATGTTTGTAGAAATTATTATAGTAAATATGTTTTTAGAAAGTTCTTGATCTACAAACATAATTCAAGGATAGACTGAAAATAGCAAATCTTATATTTTGATTAATTTATGGCATCATAAGCATATAATGGAAAACCCCACATTTTGTGGAAATAGCCTTTTCCCTCATTGTTGATTTCCTTTAGGAATTAAGAAAAGACCATGGTTGTAATGGTTTACTTGTATGGCCCTGGATAGCTGAGGCTAAAAGATTTATATGGATTGCTATTCTGTGTAAAGAAAGCTGGTGTGGCCAATTTTCAAATGAGCTAGGAGGCCTAGATTAATAAAAGTCAGGGGAGACCTAGAAGATGTTTATTTTATCCCAGAGTGATCCTTTGAGGCCAAAAGGTTCAGATTGATCTCGCAAGTCCTCCTGCAGAACTGCACTGATGTAAACATTTCCTGATATGATTTCAAGATGAACATAGTTGGAAGGTTTTA